GTGAGCGGCCGTCCAGTGGTCAGCGACTGACTGCCTCAACCGGAAAGAGCTCAATGATCACAATACTAACATGGGCCAGTGAAGCCATGTCCTCCACAACTAGACTGAAGAACAAAAGGACAGCAACTTGGCTGTTCTCCTTCCTCGATTTCCCAACGCTGTTCCCCTTCCCCAATTTCCCCCAATAAAAAATCTTTAAAAAAAAATGCCAGTGTCATAAAAGACAAGGAAGGGCTGAGAGACTGTTCCAGGTGAACGGGAACTAAAGAGCCAAGACAACCAAGCTCAGTGCGACATCCTGGCCTGGAGCCTGGAGCAGGAAAAACGAATTCACTCTAAGGGGCATTATTCAGACAATTGGGCGAGCTTGAATATGGTCTGTAGGTGAGATACTAGTACTACATGGAATGTTCAATTTCCTGACAGCGATAATTGCGCTGTGCTCACCTAGGTGAATGTCCTTGGCCTTGAGAAACAGACACTGGGGTATTTAGAAACAAAGGAGCATAATGCCTGCAACTTACTCTCAAATGGTTCAGAAAAAAGATAATAGATGATAGATGATAAATAAATAGATGATAGATAGATAGATAGATAGATAGATAGATAGATAGATAGATAGGGCAAATTTGGAGGATCTGGATAAAGAGTATATGGAAGTTCTTTGTATTATTCTTGTAATTTTTCTATAAGTGTGAAAATATTTCAAAATAGGAAGTTAAAGTTGTTGAAATATTGTCATTGGTAAATAGCCCCTGCCCTGAGCCATCTCTGCCTGCTATTCCCCCCACCAGCACCCTGGCTACTCTGGGATCCTCTCCCTCCAGGTTCTCCTGTTCCAGACACCAAAAGGTTAATGCCAGGCACAGCAGGAAGCCCCAGATCCTGCTCAGGGGGCTCTGCAAGTTGCCAAATATTTTGAATGTCCTCCTTGGGCAAGCGAGCTTGCGACAGGAGGCTAGATTTCCTCTGCTGACTTCACAAGCTCTCTGCTATCCTTGGCTACAGAATGAGTCAGACCCCAAAAAAGAGCCCCATGCCCCAAGAGCTCCCCACACACACTCCTCAACCTTCCTCTCATCAGATGACAAAGCTCCTTTCCGGGGATGAGCTCTCTCTGCCATTTCCTCTCACGAGGGCAGAAAAACAATGTTGATTCGAACACTTGGTGGTTTGCTCCCCAGAACTTTGCAAATGGCTCGCAAAGTTTGGCCTTTGCAAAATCGCTAGAGATTGGACATAACCGAAGTGCCCAGCAAGAGGGGACACTTAATTAAATTCAGTGTCCTAAATTAATGATGGTACATCCAGGCAACAGAATACTATGTAACTATAAAAAAAAATGCGGAAGTTAATGCACTGATGTGGAAGGGCTCCAAGGTGAAATAGAAAAAGGACCGGATAATGTGTAAAACCAAAAGAGGAAAGTCTCTCTCTCTCTATCTCTCTCTCTCTCTCATTCTGTGTGTGTGTGTGTGTGTGTGTGTGTGTGTGTGTGTGTGTGTGTGTGTGTGTTGCATAGTCTAGCCCCGGAAGCAGACAGAGGACACCTGTAATACTGGTCACCCTTAGGGAGGAGAACTAGGGGGGTGGGTCAGGTATCAGAAGGAAGATTTTCACCATATGTGCTTTTGTTCTGCTTGCATGTAGAGCCATACCAGGAGTGCATTGACCATTCCAAAAAATGGGTATTATATAGAATATATAAAAGGATTTGTGGTTCCATAATTCTAGGAGTCTAAGAAGATTCTAAGAGTATTTCTTCATTGTATAAATAATAACTGGCCAATAGATTGGTTTCTGGTACGTGCCCTTAAAGAGGTTACGGTCTGCATGGAGAGAGCTCTCATCCCCGGTGTCAGAGACAGTAATACACAGAAGACAAGTTCTACTTTTTTTCTGGAACATCCCCCTCTCCCCCATTCCTACATGGACACAATGTCTTTAAACGATCCACCCACAGACCCACATGAAATCAATCTAGGCTGTGTCCTCTGAGCAATGGGATACAAGGTGGCAGTGGGCGCCTCAGCTCTGATTTATCTTCTTAAATGTGTACAGCATTTGTGTTTCAAAATCCCTAAGCATTACGAAACATACACACTCATATTTTGAAAATCACATGCAAAAGACCAGCCTCCAGATCCTTGAGGATGCAAAGAAATGCTTCTCAGGGCCGGCCGAGTGGCGCGATGGTTAAGAACTCACTTGGGATGCCAGAGGACCCCGGTTCGGATCCCACATATGAGGGCCAGTGACACTGCCCTCTACAGCTAAGATGCTGAACAATAGCTCAACCTGGAGCTGGGCTG